AAAAAAAAAAAAGGGAGGGGGGGCCTCCAGGATACAAGATCAATATACAAAAGTCAATTTATAAAAACTGTGCTTCTACATATTCACCACCACAAAACATTGAAATTTTAATTTTTTTAAAAAGTCCCTCCAGGCCAGGCATGGTGATTCACAACTAATTCTAGTACTCTGGGAGGCCAAGGCTAGAGCATTGCTTGAGACCAGGAATTTGAGACCAGCTTGATCTAGACCAAGACCCCCATCTCCACTAAAAATAGAAAAATTAGCCAGGTATGGTGGTGATGCCTGTAGTCCTAGCTACTCAAGGGGCTGAGGCAAGAGGATCACTTCAGACTAATAAGAGTTAGAGGTTACTGTGAGCTGTGACCACAGCACTCTACCCAGGGCAACAATGTGACAATTTCTCTGTTTCAGGGAAGAAAAAAAAAGATTTTGTAGATGTAACACCAAAACACAATTCATAAAAGAAAAATTGATAAATTTGACTTCATAAAAATTGAAAATGTTTGCTCTTTGAAAGACACTTTCTGGCTCGGCACCTGTGGCTCAAGTGGCTAGGGGCCAGACACATACACCTAAGGTGGCAGGTTCGAATCCAGCCTGGGCCCACCAAACAACAACGATGGCTGCAACCAAAAAATAGCCGGGCGTTGTAGCGGGCACCTGTGGTGATCCCAGCTACTTGGGAGGCTGAGGCAGGAGACTATCTTGAGCACCGGAGTTGGAGGTTGCTGTGAGCTGTGATGCCACATCACTCTACCCAGGGGGATAGCTTGAGGTTCTGTCTCAAATAAATAAATAAAAAGAAAATAAAAAGTAGCTGGGCTTAATGGTGCATCCTTGTAGTCCCAGCCACTCAGGAGTCTGAGGCAGGCAGACTGTTTGAGGCCAGGAGTTTGAGTCTGCATTGAGCCAAGATGATACCATAGCGTTCTAGCCTGTGTAATAGAGGGAAACCTCATCTCTAAAAACAAACAAAAAAAGTTAAATATGAACCTACCATATGGCTCATTCCCTTCCTATGTACATAAAGGATCATAGAAGCTTTATTTGTAAAAAGCAAAAAGTAGAAACAAGGCCAGGGACGGTGACTCACACCTGTAATCCTAGCATTCTGGGAGGCCAAGGCAGGTGGATTGCTTGAACTCATGAGTTCAAGACCAACCTGAGGCTTGGCGCCTATAGCTCAA